CATCCACTGTCCTCACCAGGGGTGAAAGAAATATACAGGGGAAGCTTCAAAAGAAAGTATGTTTGATATTACCCAAAGAGAAATTTAGTTAGAAAGATGTACTACCCTGGAGCCAAAAAAAGCCTGAATCCATCTCTGCCTTTCCCCCACCCACAACTAAATTCTTATCTTAGGGGAAGAGGTGGAGCTATCATGATTTGTTTTTAGGGAGAAGCAAATTCACTAGGCTTTACTCACTGGAAGTAGGGAGGTAGGGACTGATCCAGAGTGTACCAAAAGCTACTAGAAGCTACAGCCCATCAGATCTGAAATCCTTACATGGGAAATATTAAATCTGAGCTTCTAGTATTTATCCTCTCAAAGTCTACATGTTCTAATGAATTGATCTTGTTCTGATTACTTTTTTATTTATTCAATTTATTTCTCTCTTTTTCCCCAGAAGCTTACCTGGGGATTTCCTTTTATTGTATTGCCATAAGAACCATGTAGGTTAGGTTAAGAGAGGTTAATATGCTGATGACACCCAGTGGAATGTCTCAGACCATGGTGTGTTAAGTGATGCTGTGACCTCCCTCTTGTAGTGCCTGAAGACTCTTAGGGCCTGCATGGGGAGCAAAGGGCTGAAACTGAACAGTGGCAAACCAGAATGGCTCTCGGTTTGGGGTTCTTCAATCCATGGAGAACTACCATCTCTGGTCTTGGATGAAAATAATAATAATGATAATGATGATGATGATGATGATGATGATGATGGAAAGGACCTTGGAGGTCATCTAGTCCAACCCGCAGCTCAGGCAGGAAACCCCATACCATTTCGGATAAATGGCTGTCCAATCTCTTCTTAAAAACTTCCAGTGTTGGAGCATTCACCACTTCTGGAGGCAGGTTGTTCCACTGGTTAATTGTTCTAACTGTCAGGAAGTTTCTCCTTCGTTCTAGGTTGCTTCTCTCCTTGATTAGTTTCCATCCGTTGCTTCTTTTCCTCCCTTCAGGCACTTTGGAGAATAGCATGACTCCCTCTTCTTTGTGGCAGCCCTTGAGATATTGGAACACAGCTATCATGTCCCCCCTCGTCCTTCTCTTCATTAAACTAGACATACCCAATTCCAGCAGCCGTTCCTTATATGTTTTAGCCTCCAGCCCCCTAATCATCTTTGTTGATTGCACTGTCCCAGACAGACCCAGTGTGTAATCTGGGAGTTCTCCTGAACTCATGATTCTTGCTCGAGGAGCAGGAGCAGTCGTGGCCAGGAGGACCTTTGAGCAACCACAAATTGTGCATCAGATATGCCTTTTCTGGGCCGGGAATCTCACAGTTACCCATGCCCTAGTCACCTCTCACCTTGACTATCGCAATATACTCTATGTGGGACTGCCCTTGAAAAGCACTGAGAAACTTCAGTTATGACAAAATCAAATCCAAATAAACTTTGGATTCATTAGATATGCATCTATTGTTCAACAAAAGTTATTCTTCAGTTTATGAAACTCATGCAGATTTTTAACATGCCTCCCTATCCTTATTCTCCCAACATATTTACGGTATCTTCCTTGGTTAGAAATCTAATGTACAAAAAAGAAGCTTTGAATTTTAATTAGCATGTGGATTGATTCATACAATAATTCCTTTAGACTGGCATATATTTTATTCATGATTCGTTTGATCAATAATGAGAGCAATAGTACAAAATTACTTAACAATAATATAGCATAATAAACTAAGAGATTATAAAAATGTTTTAAAACCATATGTAAAATTCTAATAACACAACATATATTTTCTGCTGAGAGAACTAGAGAAAATTAGAGAAACTGAGAGATTTATTAATTTCTCTCAAAATTCCCTTGAACCAAACTAAAATCAGGAACTTTAGCTTTAAATTAATAGTTAAGGAGTTTGCTATAAGCTCTGTGTGATATACGGGTACTGCAATATCTTTTGCTTTATAGTCTTTTATGGGATGGTAGATTAAAAATACTATGTCACATAGTATTTAAATGCATAGAATGGGAACCTGTAAGTGAAATGAATTATTCTCTCAGAGCAATAGAAACATAAAATGAAAATGAAGTATTCACTCCAGTGAATACTGATCATTTTGCAAGAGAGATGACAGGTATCAGAGTAATGGACAGCAACTAAAAAAAAATTAAATTGAGGAGGAACAATCTATGGAAATCTTTGCAATGTTCCATATTGCTTTACAAACTCATTAGATATAGTCTATTGATTAAAAAAAACTCAAAAAGAGCCTGCTAACTTTTAACTAAGTTAGGAAATATGCTCGTTACATATTATTTCATGGACATAAATCATAGAAGGGAATCAAAGATGGCTGGGAGAGAAAGGTAGGTAATGCTAAGAGAAATTAAAATCAGCATTAGATGTATAGTTAAGATGTTGTAAAGACAGTTGATACCCATCAAATAATCCAGAGCCTTTGCTTTTTCTTAGAAAAGAAAAACATACAAAAATAAAAGTTAGCGCAATGGCAGAATGTGGAGAAAAATAAAGTATGGGGACTAAAAAAGCAGCTATTCAAATTAGGCAGACATCTACAAACAAGAAAGCAACAGGAAGAGAAAATTTAGAATGGTTTGGTTACTTTAGCAAAATTTTAGGATGTGACATCCTACTGAAGAAATTCTTAGGATTGTTACATAAACAGTTTAGCTTTAATTTAGGGCCCAAAAGAGAATCTCCTCCTCAGTTTCTTTGGGCAAAAATAAAATGGCTTAAGAAAATTATGGCAGCTTGAACAGTTCACAAATGGAAGCCCGGCCACAGGATCTTGAGCCTTAAAATGCTTGGCCTTCAAATGGCAACCACAAGGGATTTCTGTTAAACCCAATCAACACTAAGCAAGCAGCTTGGTTACACAAACATTTCGGATCACTGACGCTATGCTGATTCAACCACTGCCTTAGTTTAGCTTTGAAATAAACCAAAACCCACAGAAACTAGGGCAACTGTAAAAATGTCATGCCTCATGTACCAAACCAGAAACAAAGGAATGATTACATTTGAGGGAAAATTCTAAGCTACACAAGAATTATGACAAATTATATTTGGGGGAGAAAAAAAACTTCTTTCTTCCCTACCTTTTTTACAAATCATTATATGGACTTGATAATATTCCCTCAAGTTAATTGACATACTAATTGAAATAATATACCTAAATACATGGGATAACAAAGCTATTATGTGTGTACTTAGGCTAAAATGGATACAACAAATAGACCTTGTCATAGTACCACAATTGGGACGGAATTGTGGTCATTCATCGAAATGGTTGTTAAGTGACATGCCCATGTGACCACTTGCTCAATAACTGCAATCCCAAGTCTCCCCATTGTGGTAATTAAACAACCACATGTTCATTAAGCAGAACACCAGGACAGGAGCCCTCATACCACTCCACCATTTCCGAGTCCACTTACCATTTTCTGCATACTTGGCCAATGGGAAGCATGGCATTTCTACCTCATGTCACGCTGCAAGCATCCATTCTTGTGATTTTTGGGACACTCCTTCTCCAAAGTTTGAAATCTGGAGAAAGGCCCTTCCAAATGAGAATGAGAATGATGGTGTTTGCTAGCTTTCCAGCCTTCCTTGGGCTGGAAAGCTAACAAACACCATCATTCTGAAGGCTAGAATTATTATTTTTTATGTGCAGAAGGGAATACCTCAGTCAGGCTGCAGAAACGGTATTTGAATCTTTGGGATGCCCCACTTCTGCAGCCCAGCCGAGGGACTGACCTCCACTTGCCAGGAAGATCTAGCTGCTGCTTGCAATCTTCCCTGCTGTCTTCCCCATTGACTTTCTGGGGAAATCAGCAGAGAGGATTGCAAATGACAACCATATGATCGCAGGGTGCTTAGCAACTAGTCATAAGTGCAAAAGGGTAACAAACAGCCGAAATATCGTCATGTGACTATGGGAGAGGATGACGGTGCAACATTTTACAATGGGCAGAAGTACTTTACAAGCCATAAAGCACCCTTTCCGACATAATTTGGGATGTTTCTTAAACAACTGATCGTAAAACATGGACTGCCTGTACAGGTGACAACGTTTCCTTTCCCCTTTCCCCTACCTTACAGGATTAGTACAATGGTAAAGATAAGTAAAGTCAAAAGTAAAGCTCAACTTTTGGTTCCCACATGGATACATCTATGTAGTTATCCTGGCAGCAATAAGAGTATGGATTGCCATCACCTTCTGGGTTTTTCCTCAGATTTGTAGTGTGATATTTTCTGCAGATCTCCTTTCCAAACATTAAACAAGTTCAGTATTGCCCAGTTGCCAAGCAAACCAAGTAAAAACTGCCCAAGTGTCATTACATGAAAATGGCACATATGTTTGTGCTTTACAATGCTGCTATAGAGAGGCTGAACAGTTAAACTGAGTTTTATCATCCATTCATTCTTCTTTCCATCTAATTTATATTTTGCTTCCTTCTACATCAATATAGTACAAATCACATTTATTCTGCCTTTTATGTTTACAGCAGTCTGTGAGGTATAAATGCTCTACCCATTTTCTATTATTGCTCAATTTTGCGAAATCTCTGTAATTTATAGTGTCTTACAGGTAGGTCTAAACCTTTTCCAAAAATAAGGAAAGCCACTTTGACTTTTTTATCCATTACAGAACAACTGTCTAATACCACAAATATATTTGATATAGATTGCAAAGAACCTGAAAAGGTAATTTATGGGGATTCCAACTTTGGTATTAAGAGAAGCTTACATTCTTCAGAACAAACAGGTGCGCTACTAAAATCATTCGTAGCAAGAGCTTGTGTTGGGATGGATCATCAATGCTAAACCAATTGAATCACTTCTTGATCATGCCAGGGAATGAGTGAGAAACCTACTCCTCTGCCAAGACAACAGAGCTGGAGATTTAGGAACATTTATCTATACATTTAAGTTTCTTCTTTTCCATTTGAAACCAGTAGCAAAGCCAAAGGTTTATGAAAAACAGGATACTTACTTTGCCAAGTGATTCATGAGTAAATAGAGCATCTGTCTATTTTTCTCTGGAAGTCTGTGCACTAAGCTATGGATCTCTGAAATTCTGGATTCTTGATTCTCCAGTTCTGTAGCAAGACAAAATATTCTTTTAGTGGAGTTTGATTTTATGATTCGGCTACCAACGACACAAAGCAAGCTGAAATCTACGAGTTTGTTTAACTATACTAATATAGTATGTATACGTGCCCCCATCCACAAAAACCACTCATAGCAAGATTGTTAGATTCTACAAATCCATTTAAAGTAACTTTAAAATTCTAAGAGCCTCAAATGTTATTTTAGGAAAGGACTACATATTGAAGACAGAGACTGATGATATACAGAATAACAGAATTGGAAGGGACCTTGGAGGTCTAGTCCAACCCCCTGCTCAGGAAGCCCTATAATACAAATGGTTATCTAATCTCTTCTTAAAAACTTCCAGTGTTGGAGCATTCACAACTTCTGGAGGCAGGTTGCTCCACTGATTAATTGTTCTAACTGTCAGGACATTTCTCCTTAATTCTAGGTTGCTTCTCTCCTTGTTTAGTTTCCATCCATTGCTTCTTGTCCTGCCTTCAGGAGCTTTATATCACTTTTACGATATAAAAGTGTCTGAATAATCAATCCCAAAGGATTGGAATTTTACAAATGCTACTACTCATATGTTATAGAAAAATAGCCGACTCATTGTACTCATTGTAGGATTACTGGAAGATAGCAACAGCAGTTAAAAATCACTTTTTTTTATCCCAACAGGGGGTGGATTATCCCAATAGAAATAATGGGACTTGTTATCCCAATTCCAGTTCCAGTGGAAAAAGATGTGACAACTGTTGTAGCCAAAACCTGATTAACTTAAAGCAACCAAATCACTTTTAAGGTATAACATGATTTTATTTGCTTAAAACAAATGGAATTACATTTGCAATTACAGCAAAGGAACATGTTTTTCTATAGCATTCACCAGTTTCTTTCAATGCAACAACCCTCTCATGTTTTATCTATTGTTTCTCTATGTATTCCCATGGCAAAAGGAAAAAAGATAAAATCCCAGATTTTTTCTTCCAAGTCCTTCAAGTACTAGAGCATATACAATCTTAATTCCCTCACTTGCATTTAGAAAATTGAAAAACCAATTAGGGATATTCAGAAAGAGGGAAATGGTCAACTGTCAACAATAATAGTAGTTTCAAAATAAAAGCCTCTTGCCTCTAAAAGAACCAGCTCCAAGGGAACAAAATTGATATAGGACAATCATATCCTGCTTATGAGTTGTCAATGTGCAGGACTATTCATCTTGAATGTGCAGAGCTGGCCTGATTTATAGGCAGCCTTCCTATTGTCTTACATTCATAACCTCTACAAAAACATTATTAAAATAAATAATAAATATTAAATTACTTCTATTATAACCTGAAAAATTGGGGAGGGGGTCATTGGAACATTCTCATCTGGACAGGTGTCTGTGTGCAATTTTTCCTCCTTTTGTACACAGGTACCTCCTTTCTACACCTCTGCATAATCAATCCAGGGTTATTCCATCTCCAAGCATTAGCATTAGCAGGAGTCTGGAAAAGCATTAACTTATCTTTAATAATCCTTTCCATTGTTTGTACATAATGCCACCTCCCTCAATCAAGGACTAGCTATTTTTTGCAGAATACAAGAGATAAAAGTTAAATGATTTTTATGTGTTTCTGTCCTTCCACTAAGATGGTGTTGTAAAGTGATAAAAAGGTTGAATATGAATTTTCAGTTCAAATCTCATATCTACTATGAAATCACTTAGACAAGCCACTCCCTATCAGTCACTCATCATATGGAATATGAAAATAATAGTACTGACTTAACCTCCAGAGTATTTGAATAAATCAGAACAATGTACTGGGAAGCACTTTGAATATTCACAAGTTAATTATGGTGACTAACTTATTCTCATCATAAAATAATTTGTTGTAATCCAATCCAATAGAGCAATTTACTTTTAATTTCGGTTGCCATATTTGTGGCCTTTTCTTCTGAAGAGAATCACCATCTTCCAACAGGTAAGCTATTAAAAATGGAAGATTTCTGCAAAACTAAAAGCTGAGGTCCCAGATATTTCTGAGTTTTTATTATATCTAGGTTTCTCATTCAAGAGTCTTCATGGGCTATTATTTACTGATCCCCAATGCTTCGATGCTGCATAGCTTTTGTCACTGAGGACTAATTAATATTTCTTGCGAGGGTGAACTCCTACAATCTGGTCTAACTATGTGGAGTTTTGATGGAAGGAGGTTCCAGGAATTTAGAAGACACAGGTGCAATCTCCAAATATCCATACCGCAGAGGGCAGGATAACATGGCAGAAAGCTCATTATTTGAACTTGGGAGATTTATTTCAAGTCCTGATTAACTCATGGAGTAGCCAAGAGCCTGTAACTATCTCATGGTTGAAAGAACAAAACAGGATAACTTCGTACAACAGAGGCAGTAGCCATGGCAATAGTAGCAACAAAAAATATATATTGTGCAATGAATATATTAATATGTGACCTAATTTATACTATCCTTCCAGCTCCCATACTTATGTCAATACAAAGCTTCACTTGTGGATTTTTTAAAAAAGAAAATTGGGTATGTGGCAGAAAACAGCTTGTTTTTTGAAAAGAAGGCAAAGGGGAAAGTCATTTCCCATGTCCTCAAAAGAATTAATACAGCCTGAAATTCTAATGTTCAGTTTTAAATTTAGTATAAAACATAAGTAATGAATTAGCATCACCTGGATTATGCCGAAGTGATTTCTTATCAGATTTCATATTCATTTTCCCCATGAATAACTGCAATTATTGAATAGTATAACACTTCAAGTTATTAAAAATAGCCCTTTCTATGTTTCTGATAAACAATGTTTCCATGCTATCTCATCACATTTAATGTGATCAAGCTCTAATTAACACACTCTTATGCATGCTATCCACAGAATTTCCTAATATCTGTTCTGTTGCATTCAGTCATATTTTTTTTACATAGCTTCCTCAAAGGGATTGTCACAGATTGCTTACTTGCTGCTTTGATGAAGCTTCTTTGAAACTGATACATCATGAGTGGCCCAGGGAGCATTCTGGAATATAGATTAAAGGATAGACAGATAAGAACAATAAAATACTTGGCAAAAAATACTATTTGTAATTGAAAGCCTTCTATAGGTCACATACTGTATCCATTCTTTAACACAGGAAAGGCATAATTAATACTGCAGGAATGGGATAGAAAGAAAAAGATCCCTTTTTTTCAAAAATGTAGTCATATTTATTGCTGAATTATTAAACGTGTATGCTATCTGATTTTCAATGATACTGAGTGGCTAATAGTTCTATATACTTATGATGGCAGCTGCATAACTGCATAAATTACTGTTATCTTAAAATAAAGATGTTGATTACTTTCAAAAGTAGTATAATATTGATTCTTTTATATTAGAAAACGTTGCTTTTAGTAGCAGGGTAATCAAACTATGGAACAGACCAACATCAAAGGCCAGAGGTCAGCAGATATAATAAGTAAAATTTCAATAGGACTAAGCATTCTGGTGCTACCAGTGTGTTTTCTCTGAAGAAAAGGTCATTAAATGAAACAAAGCAGTATTTTAGTGCACTTTTATAGATGTCTATCCCAAGAATATAAATGTTTAAAAACACACACACACACACACACACACACACACACACAAAGATGCAGTATAAATTTCATATATACTGTGGTATCAGAAAGTTTGTAAATTTGTGAATTCATATCTACACACATAATCCCTGAGAACTGCAATCTACAATATGATTATAGTTTTATTTAAGCCCTCTTAATAGAGATTACAAAGAAACAGTATACAATGACTTGTCTTTATTGAACACATTGAGTCAGCATTCATTGTTGTTGTTGAAAAAAAATTGTAAAGTTCTATGATAATTAGTTGTGTTATAAGCGGAATCATAAATTCAGATCAATGATGTGACAATAGAAGAGCCTTCCTTTATTTTAAAAAATACACAAGTCTTTTTTTTAAAAAAAATTAGTTGAGGTTAAGTTACAGGAATTTCATCAGCTAAATTATTATCCACAGAACTAATTTATTTATTGAAATATCTTAGGATAGAGACGTGTTCCATTTCTTCTTCATGGCTTCCTGTGGAGTGGCAAGGAGGAAGATTTATTTGCAGATAATGGATAACCTTGAGCTGACTGATAACCAAACCATCCCCCAAATCTTTATCAACCAGTAAACTAACATTTACAATACTAAGGAGATAACCACTGGTCTCCAGAAAGAACATTATTGTATGCCTCAAGATTGCCCAAGATAATCCAGCAGACTATCGTGCTTTGAGAAAGAAATGAAACTTCCTGGCATAACTGAAAAAAAAAATATTGGTAGAAAATGAAACACAGCTTTTCAACAACTACAACAAAATTGCCAAGTCAACATTAAAGTGTGGTTTGGTACTGTTTTGAATCCCCAGAACAAAGGGACCAGAGGATTCTGGGCTGTGTCCAGATGGTATCATTCTGTGTCCACAGAATGATACCATCTATCCCTACAAATAACCAGATTTTTCAGCAATATTCTTTTGTGTACTTTAAAATACAACCATAAATAAGCTATGACTTGAAGTCAAACCAAGCCTCTATCTCTTGTAAAACCTCATAAAGTAAGATAGTTTCAGGGGGTGGAGAAGAGTTGCTTTCCAAGCCTGAAACATCATAACACCTTACAGAATAGCTGCTTGAAAATCAGAATACTGCTGGAGACAGTTAACACTGAAATCTTGGCAATAATTCTGAGATGTACTGCAGTGAAGTTTTAGAAAATTGTGCTTATAAATATTTTTTGATAGGAATGATTAGCCATTACTAACAGTGAGTAACAAACGGAATTCTTTCAGATTCAAACAAGAGCATAAAAAGAAACAGCTAGGAAATGAGACTCTAAGCAGAGTTCAAGCATCCTTCATGAAGAATAACACGGAAAAGCAGAGAGTTCTGGCAAACACATAAAAGAGCTTCCTCACTTACCTTAAATATGTTTTCAAGGCACTGGTGATTGTTTTAACTTCCCATTCTGCACAGACGTCATCTTCTGTCTCAGCAGTTTTGGGATCTAAGAAGAGCGGCAAGAATGAGACCATAAAAAAGGGGGAAAATCTTATTTCAGAATATTCACTACATGTTTATTGAGGTCTACCATATTTGGGGTGCAAAAATCCACATGATTTGGACCAGAGATTGATTGCTTGAGCTGTATGTGTGTATGTATGTGTGTGTGTGTACATACATACATACACACGTCTATATCTATATCTACACACACACACACACATTAAACTATAACTACCAGATTGGGCTACAGAATTCTAGATACATACACATATAAAATTTTATTTATGATGTCATCAAATGGTCATCTAGATTTTGGTAGCCCAGATCTGGTAGCTATAGTATAATATGATTTTCTTCACTGCATATATAGATGCAGCTATGAAGAAATAAAGAATAACATGGTTTGAGATGTGGTCCTTTGGTTGAAAGATATATTTTGAAACTATGGTTTGTTATCTGTCTGGACATTATAAAAGGGCAAGAAAGAAGGAAAGAATCTGCAGTTTCTTCCAAAACATCAGAATTGATCTCAATAAATCCCTTAACTGAGGACCTTTATTTCTGTTTGGCATAAAGAGTTTGGAGAATCTTAGCAAGTAAACTGGAGGAAAAATGCAGGCAAAACAAGGATGAGAAAAGCAATTCAATACTTTCAAACTGCATAAAGTATCACAATAGCATGGCAAAACAAGCCCAGAATACCACACACAGGAACAGCTAAACCACAGCTGGAATCCATCAATCAAATCCTAAACTATAACTGAAGAAGGAGAAAAAGAGACTTTAAACAATTCAAGATGAAACTGGCAATATTCTTCATTATAGTAATTCTGACCTAAAATAATCCCATATTCACATGTCACAAATAATGCTATCCAATTTCCTTTTTGGTAGTTTTGGAAGGACATGAACATGGAATTGGTACCAGGAGGTACCAGGGTGAATTATCAAATCTTCATCCATTGCCAACAGGAATTTCTGAGTTTCCCATAAGGCCCTTATAAGAATAAAAAACTGATAGTTACTGAATGCAGTACCAGCCTCTTTCCCAGTGATCCTAGATGTAAACCAAAGGTGTGAGGGAGAAAGAGAAGGGGAAGGAGGAACAGAAAACAGGTATAAGCAGCAACATTTGAAGCACCACAGAAAATCATACAACTGTCTTCTCTTTCTTATTACTGCCAACCTTCCTACCCATTCTCTGCCTCAACATAGACCAGGGTTCCCAACCCTGATCTGTGGACAGGTACCAATCCACAGCATATCAGAACCCAGGCAGCACAAACAAATGAAGCCCCATCTGTGGGATGCAGGCAGCATGTGAAACCAAGGAACCCTTATGGTCCTTGGAAAAACCTCTCTCCAGGGAACCGTCCCTGGTGCCCAAAAGGTTGGGGGCCACTGATATAGACTACCTGCTAAGAAGACTACCTATCCCAAAGCCCATGGCAATCCCCCAAACTGCCCATGAGAAAGAAAATACAGTAGTCATTGGAGTGGAGTGGAGTGGAGTGGAGTGGAGTGGAGTGGAGTGGAGTGGAGTGGAGTGGAGTAGAGTAGAGTAGAGTAGAGTAGAGTAGAGTAGAGTAGAGTAGAGTAGAGTAGAGTAGGGATAGGGATAGGGATAGGGATAGGGATAGGGAAGAGAAGAGAAGAGAAGAGAAGAGAAGAGAAGAGAAGAGAAGAGAAGAGAAGAGAAGAGAAGAGAAGAGAAGAGAAGAGAAGAGAAGAGAAGCTGGAAGGGACCTTGGAGGTCTTCTAGTCCAGCCCCCTGCTCAAGCAGGAGAACCTATACCACCTCAGACAAGTGACTGTCTAGCCTCTTTTTAAAAATCTCCAGTGATGGAGCGCCCACGATTTCTGGGGGCAAGCTATTCCACTGGTTAATTGTCCTTACTGTCAGGAAGTTTCTCCTTAATTCCAGGTTGCTTCTCTCTTTTATCAGTTTCCAACCATTGTTTCTTGTCCTGCCCTCTGGTGCTTTGGAGAATAGTTTGATGCCCTCTTCTTGGTGGCAGCCCCTCAAATACTGGAATACTGCTATCATGTCACCCCTGTTTCTTCTTTTCTTTAGACTAGCCAAACCCGAATCCTGCAGCCTTCATATGTTTTAGTCTCCAGACCTCTGATCATTTTAGTTGCTATTCTCTGAATTTTTTCCAAACTTTCAACATCTTTTTTGACCCATTGTTCAAGTTTGTCAAGATCTTTTTGGGCTTTGAGCTTGATGGTGGTGTTGTCTATCCCACCTTTTTCTAGCTTACTAAGCAGCAGGTTGTGGTCTACTTTGTCAAATGCCTTACTGAAGTCTAAGTATACTATGTCCACACCTTTTCGCTGGTCAACTATTTTAGTCATTTTATCAAAGAATGAAATAAGTTTGGTTTGGCATGATCTGTTTTTGACAAACCTGTGCTGGCTACTGGTTATGACTTTGTTTGCTTCTAGTTATTCGCAGATCTGTTTTTTGATTATATTTTCCAAGATTTTCCCAGGTATTGATGTTAGACTGATTGGTCTGTAGTTTCCTGGGTCTGTTTTTTTCCCCTTTCTTGAAGATGGGAAGCACCATCAGCTCTTTTCCAATCCTCAGGTATTTCCTCACTGCTCCAGGATTTTTGGAAGATATGGTACAATAGTTCTGAGATAACATCTGCCAGATCTTTCAGAACTCTGGGTTGTAATCTATCGGATCCCAGTGATTTATATCCATCAAGGTCGGATAGGTGTTCTCTTACCATTTTCTTGCTTATTTTAATTTTAATTTTTGTTTCTAGTTTGTCTTTTGCAGTCCTTGTTAATGACTGCCTTGTTTAGTGACCATTCATAGTTACAATAGTGATGAAAAAAATACCTTTGAGACCAATCCTTGCATTAACAACTTTCACAAGTCTGTAAAGCAAAGCTGATATAAGATCATAAGCATAATGGAGGTTTCACTTAGCAACCCCTTCACTTAACCAAGTTGCCAGTCCCAATTGTTGTTGCTAAATGAGGATTAAAGTCTTTAATGAGGGAGACAAGCAATAGCAAAGGAGTGCTATCATGCAACTGGACAAATAGAGAAACAGAATGAGAGGAACCCAGACCAGTTATGCAGGGCACGTCCGTAACATCTACCAGAATCACTTAAGGATTGGGAAAAAAAAGGCATCCAATACACACTTTTTATTTTCTGGAAAGCACAAAATGAATTCCAGCATGGGGTTAACTCAGTAGTTGTTTTAGGGGCATTGCTCTGCCTTGGAAAATTGAGGAGTTTGTCATAGCATCTTAAAAGGTCTGCCTCCCTTCTTCACTCTTTTCCATGGTAAATTCATATTTGATGCTTCATCTGCAGCTCACAGATGAGGGTTATTGTTGAATGATACAGTTATGTGAGATCTCAAAGGGCCCTGGATCAACATCTCCTTAAGGCTGAGTATTTTTACTGATCTCTTGTTTAATTGCTGAATATGGAGGATCCTGGAGCAACTAAGAGTCTCTATGACATAGCTCCTGAGTATGATTCATGCCCTCATAACTGGTAAAAGTGGTGATAAGAGCAGGACACGCCCTCTTCACCCTAAAGAGGAAATATCTTGGCAAACACAGGAAGAACCCAATACAAACTAGTCTGATTCAGCGGCAGCCTGAGGCTAAATAAACAAACACTTAACACACACTGGCTACAAGGAATGCAGAACCCGCAATTAGGATTGACAGGATTAGAATAGAAAAACAAAAGGTACACAACAATAAAATAATTAACACCAGATCCCTCCTGGAGCAAAAATTAACACCTTTTAGACAAAACTGAGAAGAAAATTAACCCAACAGTAGACACTGACCAACAAATTAGAAAAGACAAATTTAAACTCACCAATCAGAAATGACAATTTTGGAAACCATGAAAGGGTATAAGAACTCACGTTTAAGGACCATTCTGTCTAGCTAGCCAGGGATTCATGCTGAATTGTCACTTAACTTTAATCTCCATGATTAAACCTCTCTTTCCAGTAACTGGCTTCATGTTCTATTTGTTCTCCTCTGCGTGCTTGGGAAAACCCCGTCTCGAACAGTGGGGACTGCTGGGATTTTATATGCCATGCCTGATGGTCATGGTATGTCTTCTGTTAGAATGCTATTGCCAATGCCTATCTCAGTTCCAGGTCTAGAGGATGTTAGCTAGCTAATTATAAGTAGTATGTGCACCTTGGGCACGACCCAATCTTTTTGCTCTGTGTGATGAACTCTTTGAACTATGTGTCTCCATAGTTTTTACACTGGAATTATTTGCCTGTTGTTTATGCAGTAGAAATCCCTTTTGTTCATTTTCCCCCCTGTAATCCATATTATACTATCTTTTATCATGGTGGGCTTTGTGTACCTCTTGGTAAAAAGTTTGACTCCTGAGGGAAGTTAGCCCCCCCCCCAGAAGGAAAAATTAAAAAGGAAAATATATTTTTCACCAAAAGGATTTTTTGGAAAGCAGAAACCAAACCTGGCCCCAAATTTCTTTGTTCCAAGCAAGAGCTAACTTCATAGAAATGCAGATATAAGACCATTAGGAAGGTTGGAGCCAGGGAACTCAAGATAAAGAAACTCTTAAGAGTCATTAGCCCAGCCCCAGGGAAGCAGGAGATGACTTTTGGGATATAATAGGACTAACCCATTACCATCAAGTATACCATAGAGGCACACCTAAAACTCAGATTAGAATACGTGACACAGGAAATAGCCTCAAAGTTCATGCCACAGGAACAGGAAATTATTCCAAACAAAAGGCTAGAGGGAGTATAAAAACCCCAAGCCTATGTTCTCAGCCCTTCTCTCCTCTGTTCTTTCCTGAAGAACCATCTTTCTGCTTCCTCAATAAACTGTAACCTTCTTCCCAAAGCAGTCGCCATGTTTGCTTATTTATTCCCGGCTTGGATGAACCAGGATGAAGGCTTTACTTCTAACACTCCGATGGACATTTCTCGCTCTGTTATTTTTGGGTCATGAATAGGAATAAATCCT